CATGGCTCTTTTTGTTGTATCTTATTGTAAAATCATCTCCGAGTGGATGGGAATAGCTACAAAGAGAGTGCCTCCACCTCCTCCCACAAGCATTAAGTGACTCCCCACCCCCACACCCCGTCCCTTAGTGAGAGTGGTCTGGGTAGTAATTGCTGGGAGCAAAGTCATTGGACTATGAGAGCTTGGGTCCAAATATTAAGCTATCACTGACCAGTTGTGGAACTTTGGTCAAAGTTCTTTAAGCCCTCCAAGTCCTCAAAGTGTCACCTGTCAAAGGGAGATAGCATTTGCCTGTAGGGAGATTAAATGAGTCGCTACCTATAAGGTGCTTGGCAGGTGCCCGGCCATGTGCTGTGTGGCACATATCACCTGTTAGGGCATGTGGCCCCTGCCATTCACCTGCTTTGATCATCTCATCCCCTCCCTCTCTTTTTATTCATATGACTTCTGAGGCTCCTTTGAGAGATGGGTCTGGGATCAGGTGGCCCCAAGGTCGTTGGATCAGTTTCTAGGGAAATATTTATGACTATCATGGACACCTCAACCACCTGATGCACTAAATCCAACAGAATCTAAGACTGAGGTCTAGTTGGGTTGTCCAAGTTTCCAGTTTGAGAATCAGACAGCCTCTTGAATGAGGCAAACTGGCACGTCCCATCTGGTGCCCTGCTGCTGTTGTCTCTGTGCCATCATTGTGTCATGGCCCACCCAGACAGATACAGTACAAGTTCAGGGTGAGAGGAGCATAGAGCCAAGCATACCCACCCCCACATCTGCATTTCGTCAATGATCCCTGAGAGGAGAAGCCCTGCCTTGTGTAGGTACAAGCCACTCGGCAAAGAACCTGCCGTCTTGTGCCAACAAAAGTTCAGTGAACATCCTAAGCTGAGCTCCTTCCAAAGAGTCCGCAGGACTTCTGGTGCCTCTGCGCTCCCAAGAGGCAAGCAGGGTCTTCTCAGCCAGACCTTTGTCTACCTGAAGCATGCCCGGGCACATTGGACAGCTAGCAAAAATAGCCACTCCCAGATAGAGAACTAAGTAAAGAGACCGTGGATTTTACATCACAGATAAGAGATGAGCTTTGGAGTCAGGCTAGACCTTCACTTGCTGCTGGGGGACCTTGGTGAAGTCATCACTCTGAACCTCAGTTTTTTTGTCAGAAAAATGAAGATAAGCATAGCCCTGCCATGAGGGTTAAATAACCCAACTCATGGCACAGAGACAACAGCAGCAGGGCACCAGATGGGACATGCCAGTTTGCCTCATTCAAGAGGCTGTCTGGTTCTCAAACTGGAAACTTGGACAACCCAACTAGACCTCAGTCTCAGATTCTGTTGGATCCAGTGCGTCAGGTGGTCGGGGTGTCCATGATAGTCACAAATACTTCCCTGCACAGGCCTATACACGGAAGTGTAGTCTGTGAGAGGATGCCGCGTTCTTACCATTTCCCACGGCAGCTACACCGCTGCTCCTCAAAGGGGATGAACCATGACAGATCAAGCATCCCAGAGTTAGGGGCCCAGGAGAATCAGTCCCTCTGGTGAAAGAGCCCGGCTTGTGCTCAGGATTTCTTACAGAATTGCTAAACCCCGTTTCACATCGTTGTTTACTCTCTGTTTGCTCCATATTATGGTCCTTTTTAAATTCTCCTCCGACTCTGGTCCGTGTACCGGGTAGCTCAGAGCTGCTTTCATGGAAGCCAGGCTGAGTTGAGTAGCTGCCAACCCTCCTCCCCAAGGAGAGAGGGCAGAGGGACAGGCTGTTAGATCTTGCTGATGCCGGGAATCAGACAGTGAAGCTGTCCTCAGCATCTAATTCTGGATAAGCAGCTTAATTTTATCGCTTCCTGCACCTACACATCCCGCCTGAGGGTGCCAAACACCCTGCGAGAGAATCAGTGAGCGGGAGGTTCTGCCCTTTTGTGTCGTCTTTTGCTCCGTGCATTACATGCTCTGTACCCGGGACTGTCTCTGCCCAGCAATCCTGCCAGCCTGGGTTGTTTTGATGGCTTATGTCTTTGAAACAACATCCCATGGCTGAGAGATCTAGGAGCAATAGGAAACAAAGAAGGATCTGGATAAGAAAAAGGGGCCTGGATAGGCCCAATGGGTGAGGAGGGTTGCCAGGGTGGCACTCAGTTGGGGTGTCCTTTTGAGGCAGGCCAGCATTCTCTTTTCCTGTGACCATCCTCCTTGTCCCGTGTCTAACACTCCCCAGAGCTAAGCACTACTGGGCTCATGAATCTGCCCTGGAGTCTGAAATGCCTGGTTAGGCAAGGAAGGTCAAATAAACCAGTGAAAGGTACCCAGTAGGGAATAGTGAGGACTGTGGCAAACAGACAGCATTAAGTCCTATATAAAGGGGGACCACCACATCAGGCATCCTCAAATTACAGCCCACGGGCTACATGCAGCCCACTTAGGACATTTATCTGGCCTACCAATATTTTTGCCGCCACTGCCTGTCCTGCTTAGCAGCCAACTCGTCCCAGGGCCCACAGTCCAGCCCTCCAGTGGTCTGAGGGACAGTGAACTGGCCCCCTGTTTAAAACGTCTGAGGACCCTTGCACTACATAGCTGCCTCCAGTAGATGCAGTGTTGCTTCCGCTTCTGAATTTTGTTTTGTAAGAGAAAAAATTAAGAAGGTGGTGATAGGGTGGTATATGAAATTTCCCAGCTTTTTAAATGAAGGGTAGAATGAGCTGATTTACATGTGGTGTGTTGCAAGGAGAATTCTATCCTCTGGTCATCAGACCCCACTGACATGATCTGTGCTGAATAATTCAACATTTCCTGGTTAGATGATGCATTCAGAAGGCCTTGAATACCAAAATTTGGAACTAATCATTTAGCACATACTTTATTTCGTAAATAAGCCATAATGTATGTGTGTGTGTGTGTGTGTTTTACTTGGGCCTGGTGTGTCCTCTATCTTTTCTCCACTTTCTCAGCTCCATAGTGTAATATATTCCTTTGAACGCCCCCAAAATGGACTGACCATGACTATGATTTAGTACACAAAGCACAGGAAATTCTTGGGGAATATGTTGCAAAGAGGATAAGTGAGTAGGCGAGTAAATAAGAAATTCACAAAGAAGAAACTGAGCCTGCTAGCGAAAATTATCCTAACCACTCTGAGTACATGTGCGTGTGACCTTGAAGAAGCCTGCCAAACTCTCTGCCTCAGTTTCCTCACCTGTAACTTATGAGGCTGGCTCCGCCCATCTGCCCAGATGATTGTGAGAATCATGGGATCTCAGTAAAGCCCTTTGGGTGACGCAGGAAGTATTCCAGCAGCATGAGTCTTTCCTATTGTGAGGCAGGAGGACATCTGTGTGAACCCTTGGGACCTTGCCCATTATTAGCCAGATTAAACAGGCAATTCTTCTTCCACTTGTCACCACCACAGCTGCCTGCCTGCATGCAGGGCGCACAGGGGGTCTGCCGGGGAAGATGGGCCTGCAGTAAGGGAGAGGTGGCACGGATGATTTAGCACCATGGGCAGCCCCACTGTTGCCAGGTAAAGTCTCCCTAGATCCCGGTATCAAGAGACTCTTGAGGAGAGCCAGCTAGTTACACATGTCATGGGTCACACCCCACCAGGGAAGCTCTGAGCCAGCCTTGAACATAAAAATGTTTAAAATTCAGCATCTGTGCTAGTTAGCTGAGTTCTAGCCTCATCCTGCTTTCATTCAAGAAGGGGTGAGAAATGATTTTGCACTAGTTACAAGGGCAAAACTAGTCGGTCTGAGAGTAATAAAGGAATTTGCTTGATTTGCCAGCCCCACGCTGGAAAACTCTGTAATTTTTATGGCATTCTCCTTGCTGGGCCAGAATTCTACCCAAAGGGCAACTGCCTATGATGTGGTTTTAGGAGGGTGAGGGAGTTGGGGGAAGGGTTTGAAGGGCCACGACCACAGCACAAGGGGTCCCTGGTGGGTAGGAAGGTTGACCCTGGGGGATCGGTATCACCTTAGAGAAGCGAGACCCTACAGTTAGATGTGGAGTTGGGTATGCATCTTAATATCCACTAAGAATAGGAAGGAGTAATTGTCATTTATGACATCAGAGGCAAATGCTGAACAAATACCCTGTGATCGAGATGAGTCCCATGAGGGAAACACAGGAGCGGGTGAGAGGCGACATCAGGGGGCTTGCTGATGAGACAGTGGGGGACACTCAGGGAGCTTCCTCACTGAGGAGGGTGCACTTAAACTGCCATGCAGAGCAGGAGACAAGCCAGCCTTGCTTAGAGAGGGTGAAAAGGTGCTTGGAGGACCGGGGAAGAAACACTGAGGGTGTGTTTGAGGAACAAAAAAGCAGTGGTGGGACTGAAGGGGAGTAAGTGGGGGTGGGGGGATGCAGTTGGAGAAAGGGCAGAGGTCAAATCACACGTGGCTATACATGGATACCTTTTTTCCAGGAGGATGACCTATAACTTTCATCAGATTTCTGAGTTTTTTTTTTTTTTTTTGGCTGGGACTGGGCTTGAACCCGCCACCTCCAGCATATGGGGCTGGCGCCCTACTCCTTTGAGCCACAGGCGCCGCCCCAAATTTCTAACAAGATCAGTGACCCAAAAGAACTCTAAGGAAATTTCTGAAAGAGACTGCCTTTAGACAATTAAAGAGAGCTTTCAAACAACAATTATGCCGAGAGATTTTCTTTTCTTCTCAATTCCTGGAAGCTCTGAATTCTAAAACAGACCGTGACATGCCCGGGGTGCTGTTTCAGATCTTCCTTCGGGGTTGTGGGTGCAAGGGAAGGCTCCAGGTGACAGCGGTGTATGGCACAGTGTCCATGGTGACAGCACACTCGAGTGCCCAGCTGTGTTTGGAGTTCGGTGGCTGCAGGAATGCAGCTCCCTCTCTTTCTCTGTTCCGTGGCAGGAGTTCAAGGCTGCAAGGATGAGTGATGTGAGCTTTGCGCCCGTCCCCTGCAGGTGTGGCCCGCGGGTAATGACCAGGCTGAGTGAGTCACCAGCCTCTCTTCTCCTTGCAGCCTCCTCAATGCCAACAAGATCAACTGCCTGCGGGTTAACACCTTCCAGGACCTGCAGGACCTCACCTTGCTCTCCCTGTATGACAACAAGCTGCAGACCATCGCCAAGGGGCTCTTCGCCCCTCTGCAGTCCATCCAGACTCTGTGAGTACGCTGCCGAGCCTGCCAGCGGGTCCCAGGCAGCAGGAGCCCCCACACACCCATCACAGAGAACACTCAGATGGAGACAGGACGAGCCCGTCCAGGAGGACTTCTGGAGCCTGTAGGGAGGCTAGAACAGTAAAAACAGTCACAGCTAACCAGTTCTGAGCACTTACGCAGTGCTCAGCACAGCACTGACTACTTGCCCTGTCTTAAAACCATTAAGCCTCACAACAACCCTATCTGGTAGAAGCTGTCATTTTAGTTTATATGTGAGGAAATCGAGGCACAGAGAAGTTAGGTTATTTACTCAAGGTCACACAACTAGTAAGGAGCAAGGAGCAGGATTTGAATCCAGACAAAGAAACTCCTGCGTCCCATTCGAGACCACTGTGGCCACCATATTCTGAGCAGGCTCCATCTCTGCTGCTAACCCGTTCCCCCTCCACCGTGCCAAACCAAACCTCTGATACTGGCAGTCCTGGAATATTTCCCCTCTCTCCTTGAGATATGTTTCCTCACTTCCAAGCACTGCAGATGTTCATAAATATTTCAGTTAACTATATGACATCTGAATCCATATCTCAGCCCAATTTCTGATGGCTCCAGCCTCAGGCTTCAGTCCTAGCCCTAGGCCTGCAATTGGGCCTGGGGGCTTCTGAAGATGCTATAAGTCATCTGGCTCTTATTGTCCCTGTGGCCAGAGACAGGGACCAACACAGAGCAACAGCAGAACACTGACAGTGAACACTGACCATGTGCCAAGCCCCGTGCTTGGTGCTTTGCAAAGTTTTTCTTACTGGGCCAAGGAAAGCAAGGCCCACGGTGCTCTCGTGAGGATAAGGATAATTACAGCAATACCCACTACTATATACAGAGCACCCACCATATGCCAGGCACTGTGCCAGCTGCTCTGTGTGCCTGGTATCACTGAGCTTGGAGAAATAAAATGCATTCTACCCAAAGTGTAAACTCTAAGCCCAGGACTTGCTTGGCCCATCAGAATTGGTGTAGATGAGAAGAGAGGCTACCAGTGGTGGATCCTGCTCTAAGTGGGAAGAGCTAAGAGACAAGAGTCCCCAGACCAGATGCCAGCTGCATCTGTGACTGTCTTTTGCAGACAGCAGGCCTTGGGCCCCCTCTTTGAGTCCTGTCTAAAAGCAGCACCCCCCAGGCCTCCCAGGGCAAGAAAGCAGGGAGCCTGCACTGGACAGCCAAGACCCGGGCCAGGCAGGGTGGTGGTGGAGTGAGGCAGCACGGGTCACTCCTAATTAACAGCCCCATCCCTCCCACAGCCACTTAGCCCAAAACCCATTTGTGTGCGACTGCCACTTGAAGTGGCTGGCCGACTACCTCCAGGACAACCCCATTGAGACAAGCGGGGCCCGTTGCAGCAGCCCACGCCGGCTCGCCAACAAGCGCATCAGCCAGATCAAGAGCAAGAAGTTCCGCTGCTCAGGTAATCAGGTTACGGGGCCGGGCCCGCTTTCTGCCTCAGTACAGCAGCCTCGGAGAGGCCAGTAATCCAATCTGGAGGACAGCGAGCGCTGTAATGGCTCCTGCAAATTAAATTGGGGAAATGCAGTTAGCCCTGCAGAAAACCAATTACCTTATGGATTTAAAATCAAACACACACACACACAAAGTAAAACCATGGGAGCGCGGGGGAAGGGGAGGCGGTTTCAGAGACTGTAGAACTCCAGAGCTGGGTAGAAGCTGGGGCAGGGGTAGCTTTGCACCTGTGCCCTCTAGAGGCTAAGATTTATTTTTTAGTTTCCAAAGTGTACACCTCAAAGAATAGATAGACAAGTAAATATAGCACAGGCCAGGCTGCAGATGGTGTGGCATCTTGGGGACCTCCCACTCCCCACTCAGACTATGGCCCAGCCCTTTAACCACTGTGTATTCTGGGTTTCACATGTTCATGAAAGACACTTTTGCTAGCTATCTCCTCCCACCAGAGAATAATGAGAGTTATTATGTGCGCAAGAAGGAACAAAGCCCTGTTTTCCTGTGCACAGGCTCGCTCTAGATACCTCTCTCCCTCTGTACCCAGGAAGGACGTGGGGGTGAAGGGCAGGGGAATTCTCAGCCTGTCCTGGAAAGAAAAGTAGTTCTCCTTGACTCAATAGCTAGATGAACAGGCAGTTAAAAATTGCTATCATTTGTGTCCTTTTCTACTGGAAAAAATCACCAAGCCGCATTGTGCTCCCAACGGTGAGAGATTGATAGCAGGACGCTCTGAGATGGGCTGGAGCCAACCCTCACAATCTGGGTGTCAGGGACGGCAGTTCCTCTCCCCCTGCCCAGGAGCCTCTGATGCAGGCGAGCCTTCTTAGGGACAAGGCCCACATGTGGAATGGTCACCAAGAGAAGAACTTCTCACCATATGCTCTTGTCTTTTAAGTCAGACTCTTCAGTCTGTGGCTCTAAAATTATAAACTTGAGCTATTTCATTTTTTTCTACCAGAAGCATATACCTCAAGAGGGCTTAAAGATAACACAGGGGTTTTGTGGCACCATGAGGAGTTGGTGCCAATTTGCCTTCCCTGCAATAGTGATGTCAGTTACAAGAGCAATTTTTTTTTTTTTTTGTAGTTTTTGACCAGCGCTGGGTTTGAACCCGCCACCTCTGGCATGTGGGGCCTTACTCCTTTGAGCCACAGGTGCCGCCCTGAGCAATTTTTCACTTATGATGAGTGCTGTGCTATGCACTTCTGGTTTGATTTGCTTTTTCGAGTAGTCCTGTGAGGTTGGCATGAGAGGTCCCCATTCTACAACAGAGGAAGCAGAGGGCTCAGAAGTGAAGGGGAACCCCGAGGTCAGAAGCCTGCAGACAGCAGAGGCAGGACAGAACCTCAGACCCAGCTGGCTCCTCAACAGCACGCCGTATCTAGTGGAGGAGTGTTTGGGAAGGAGGGCATCTGTTTAAATGCCTTCACTCCCAAGTCTCACCTCCTCAAACGTTTCCTTAGGTTCCTTCCTGGGCCTGGCAGCATCTCTGGGCAGAAAATCTCCTCCCAGCCCAGCACTGTCACCTGAGATGCGACCATCCTTTCCTGGGGCCTTTCCCTGTGACTAATGCCAGCCTCGTCCCTTCCTTTCTACCTGTTTGGTCAGAGCTGAGTTAATCTGCTCTACCAACCCAATGTACCCAAGAAGAGGGGCAGTGAGAGTCAGAGAAGGGCAGGATACAGCTGCCAGCCCGACCCTTTGGTCTCATACTGTCCTGTCAATATCCTGGACACCAGGTTGGTACTAAGGCCCTGGATGGCAGATTAGGGGTGGAGTCAGCCCGGGGTCCAAGGACAAGCATCTCTCAGGAATATAATTTGGGCAATTGCTTGGGAATGACTGTGGGCTGGGATTGGGGGTGGCAGTATAGCAGTAGGAGAGTGAGTCCCTAGAAAGTGGACCGAGGAAACGATAGAGCTTGGTTCTAACCCTAGCTCTGCTGCCACCCGCCTGCCTACCCACCTACCCACCTACCTTTGCATTTGCAGAATCCAGGCTTCTTTTATGTGGAGTGGAGTGGTTGGAAATAAAAAATACAAACAGGGAGAAGGGGCTGGGCTCTTGCATTGCCCCTGTCTAAAGTACTTGCTTAAAAAACGAATCAGTACTAGGCAGAAAGATTATTCCTATAAAGGTAGACATGTTAGGAGCTGTGATGAGCCCAACAGAGGACACTTTCTATGCTTTTATTTTATGAGGCTGAGAGAGAGCTACCGCTGAGCTCCGAAGGCCTTGGCTTTGAGAAACACCAGGGTCCAGACCTGCCTTGGCCTTGGGGCGATACCTAAACCACAGATCTAAAGCTCTCTGTTTCCAGGAAGCTCCAGAGGAGAGAAGGGGGGTAGGTGACACAGACTGGATTTGACAGATAATAACTCTGCGTTTTACTTTCCCTAAAAGCACCCCCATTGAAAAGACAGCTGATATAATTAGGAGCCAATTTGAGGGCTGCTCCAGCAACGCATAAAGCCGCTCCTGAGGCAGGGCGTCTGGTTTCCCAGCTGCCTTGTGTCTGCCTCTCTCTATCAGCTGCATCCGCCGCCCTGGGCAGTAAGATCAGTTTAGGGTGGATGTTGCCGACTGGGGTAGTCTGACCATCAGATTAAGTGCTCCATAAAAGGGACCGCCTGACTGCCTGAGACCCCACCTGGCAGTTGCAGGGTACTGTCTTTCTTCCCTCAATGTCTCCCCACTTTGCATGAGAAGAAACTCTCTTGTTGAAATAGAGGGTGGTGATGCAATGTGTCCAAAGATGGCAGACAGCAAGAAAGCTCTTAGGGAATTATAGAATTTCAGAGACCTCAGAGGTCATCTCGTTTATTGTAGAGGTGAAAGAATTAAGGACCAGCTACCCAGTGGAGAAATCTTACCAAAAATATAGAGTATTATTTTTAGGGCAAGATCTGAAACCCAGGACTTCTGACATGTTGTGAAGATTCTTGATAATTTACTCCCTATCTCCCCACCCCTGCCTGGTCCCTCCATTTCCTTTTGTAGAAGGAAACTGAAGATAAGGAAAATGATATTTTAAGGCTTACAGGAGGGTATTGCATGAAAGAGATAGGTTTTCTGTGCTTGGAGGCTGAGGTCCTGATCAAACTCAAATATGAAATCCCAGAACCAGAGTGTTTACAGAGCCCCACGTGTCTGGGTGTCAGGGTAGAGTTGAACACAGATGATGTGGTCAGCTCTGGTGAGTAAGAAGTAAGGAAGGAGGACAGGCCAGCCCCACGCTGCGGCCAAGCTCTTCCTAACTGGCGCATCATCACAGACAGCCTATGCCCTGTGAAGATGCTAAGACCATCTTGTCAATGAATTCAGTCCCAAAAATACTTGTGGAGGTCAGACATGGAGGATCTCCGTCACCTGGCCCAGTTGTAGTCTCTCCAACCCAATGCCACATGGGAGGAATTCCCAAATCAGCAGGTACATGAAAACTGCCCCTATCCGTCATGGCTACAGATATAAAAAAAAGGGGCACCCTTACTTGGGCCCTCGGCATCCCAGACAGTGGTTGTTAGTCAATTCCAACCACTCCCGTGATTCCCAGCCAAGGAAGACCTCAGGAAATCAAGAAGGACCCTGACATTAGGTGTCTTCCCCTCACATGGATCACTTTCCTTCTCCTTCCTTCCTTTAATCTGAAAAGGGTCACTCACTGTGAGATTGTATGGGTCTTGGTCTCAAAGCTAATGCCCATTTGCTTTCCTTCGTTTTCTCTGGCTTGGGAGATGTATTTTCTTTTGATACCACACATGTGTTTTATTATACCTTAAATGATCTTGGATGAATGTCAGCCAGAGGGTTTCTGAGGACGCTGAAGGGCATTTAGGAAATTCCTGAGTTGTGGCAGTCAAAGGGGGCTTTTTTCTAAAGAAAGCATCACAACTTTGCTAGAGCACTGGGAATTGTGGGCTGTCTCTGCTTTAAAGGGTTGAAGGGAATTGACTCTGATGGAACCACCCAGGTGTTGGGACTGGCCCTCTGTCAAGTTTGATGCCTTATCAGGCCACTTGGTGTGATTGGATGGAGTTTAGAGACTCAGTGTAGGCCTGAGATACGACCACAGACATCTGAGTGTTCTTTCATTCCCTTGGGAAGGATCCATTCTGCACTGATGCTCCTGAGTATGGGTGTCTGAGGATCACACACCCGTTCTTCTCCCTTCCTCCTGTATCTCCCGGGGGCAGGGCACAAGGGCAGTGGGGCTCCTGTCTTCGGAAGCATTCCAGTGGAACCCCACTCCTGGTACTAATCACGCTCAGTGGGGGCCTGCTCCGGTTTCTGCTTCTCCACACTGCTTCCTCTGAGCGCTCCTGTCCTCTCTCTGACGCTGCTTCCTGACCTTGACTCTGACCAGTCGCCGTGGGGCTTTCCTTTGTGCTTGATCTAACCATGTGGTGGAACGATGGAAACGGAACATGGTTCTGTCAAGCACCGCGGAAAGCACCGCGCTCTCCTGCAGCATGGCCCACCACCGCCGCCACAGCCACCACCGCTGGACACCTCTCCTCTGCTCTGGAGCACCGCAGCCCACCACCTGCCAGACCCACCTCTCCCAGGCTCAACTCACAAAAGGCAGGAGGGTGGGAGTCTTGAAGGCTTCAGATAGAGGGTGAAAGAAGATAGATGATAGATGGGTATGGAGAAACACGTTGGGGCCAAGCTAAGATCTGCATCCACAATGGAGTTGCCTTTCACCAAATCTAGCCTGGATGCCAGACAAGGAGTAACAGCTAGATCTGAGCTCAGAAACTACTGTGTATCTTCTTCCATTGGAAGGGAACCGGTCTACCCAAGTCATAGGTGGACTCTGCTTTCAAGTCATATGTCCCCTCATTTCATGGGAGAGTCCCATCCCAAGGCCCCATCGCCAGTGGTAGCTAAGCCAGAGGGCAATTCAGACTGCTCGCTGCCACCACCACCTTTACTGGTATTCACTTCATTTGAAATGACTGTGAGCATGAGAATGGATGAAACTGGTGTGAGTCTAAGACTTGGGACTTAACCTGAAGCTCCCCCTAACCCTCACTCCTCATGAAAACTTTAGCCCTGATTCCCATGAGGAAGCTTGGAAATTTGAAACACAGAGTATAATAACACAGAGGTGCCGGGGACAGGGAGAACGTATGCAGAAGTTTGCTGTCCGTGACAATAAAGAGAGGGACCTTGGTGCCTCATATTTTGCTTGTTTCTCGATGTATCCTAGAGTCAGTGTAACTAGAAGATTGTGGTGGTGATTCCTGCCCAGGAGTCTATGCCCTGTCCTGTGAGAGAGAGCTAAGGTGGTGGGAACCAAAGCCTGGCTGAGAACTAGGAGCTGGGCTCTGAGCTCCCATCACAATGTGTTGCTCCTGTCTCCTCTCTCTCAGGTCACCCCTCAGAGCCAGGGACCCACCTGTTGCCAAGCAGGGGGGAGTCCTGTTTGCCTCTCTGAAATTTTCTTAACATATGCTGAGTGCTTACTATACAAGCCAGGCATCGAACCATTTCATATCAGTGCCTTGTTTAACTTTCACAACATTCTAAGTCCCATTTTATAGATAAGAATGTTGAGGCCCAGAGAAGTTACTTAACTAATTCACACAGGGTCATCTGACTCCAAAGTGGCTGCGCCATTCTGGTGCCATACCCAGCCTTCCCAGCTATGGAGAGTCCCATGGTCTTGAATTAGAATAGTTCTAAAATCTTGACTTGATAAAAAGTTGAATTTTTTTTTTAATGCTCCCTTTCAAATTACTTGAATAAGAAAGAGGAAAACCATCATTCAATCAGTCTTTCTGTCCAGTATAAATATACTAGCATCCTGATTGGTACAGAGAAAATCCTTGAGCCCAGAGAAATTCCCTTTCCCTCCTTACAGAGGGGAGTGTTCTGAGTCCCCGCCCCACAATGGTGCCCTTCCATCAGGGCCTCCCTGCTCCTGTGGCAGCAGCCTGTGACAATGCCACCAGCTGCCAGGCATGGGCATTTCCCTCTGCTTTCAGGCAGATGACTGCTGTCGTAATAGACTCAGATGGGGACACCTTGCTAGGATAGCTCCCCACCCAACTGGACACCAAACTCTTGGTGAAACAGTTAATGCTTTCCAGGCTCCGCAGGCTGGTCCCCAGCCCTGCCCACAAGTGCATGTCTGTATGCCTGCCACTGTTCCCTTGGTTCCATTCATCACTTATAGCCCTTCGCTTGATCACATCACATCCTTTTCAAGGTGATGAGCCCGGGCAAGCCTCACACTCCCCCCAGTTCCTCTTTCTGTTTCTTTCCCTATTTCTTCCATCCCACCCATCCTAAGGATATTGGGAATAGAGCTCTGGACACATGAGTTGGCAGGTTCATGTTGATGAGATAACAATGACTTTATAACTTGGCAATCAACAAACTGGTTGCCCAAAGGGTGTCACAAAGATGCAGGCTACGAATGACAGCACCTGTTCTGGGCTCTGACAGTGTTGGCCTATCTCAGCACAGTGCTGGCCTCTGACCCCAACCCTCCCAAGTCCATCCAAAGAAGGAGAGCTTCAGCTCCCTGCCTGCCCCAACCTCCCACCATCCAAATGTCACGTACATTCCTCCTGGGAGTGGCCGTAGGGCAGGGATTTATAATAAAACCGTGTTGCTGTGAACGTCCACCTTCTGCCCCCACTTCCCATCTATTAAAGCTTGTCTGTGATCACACACCAAGTGTCGTTGTTCTGGGCTGCCTGCGAGAGGGAAGGAGGGCTCCAGGGGCAGGAGCAGGCGAAATGCCAGATGACATCAGCTCTTCCAAGGCCTGTTTCAGCCAAGGTTGAGTTTTATGGTCCCCCTTCAAATCCTCCAGGATCTCTCCTGTCTGAACTCGTCCCAAAGAGAAGCAGCAGCTGCCTGTTACAGTTGGTTTTCTCCTACTAAGTATTTCTGGCAGTGACAAATATGCATAGAGATTGAAATTGACTTTTAAAGCTCTGGAAAAGTTAAAAATACTTTTGGGTAGTTATGCGCATTAGGCATAACAAATGGCTCCGAGAAACCCTGGGTAGTTTCGGTAATGAAATATGAAGTGACGGAGGTGGCATTTCAGGCTGGCTCTGACTGGGGAGCGAACTTTTTCAGTGATGTACATACGCCGTTATTAACATTTCTGGCTCCCACTCATATAAAATATCACATTCCGACCCCCTTGTTATTACAAACCAGGGCAATAACAAAAACAGCAGGGGGAAAAATATTGGAAAGAACACATTAGTCCATCAAATCTAATTGCAAAATCATTTCATTAAAATGGGTCAGCGGCTCCATTGCAGAGGTCCACCAGTTATAATCTAACTATACTACTGAGAGCGATTCCTGCTAACTACAGTCTGCTCTCACCTTGATTAAAACGAAAATGCACTTAATAGGCGGCTGTCCCCAGCCACAGCCCAGCCGGTGCACGCCTTCAGGCTCCTCGAGTTGAAGAGCAAAGTGCTCCTGTCTTTCTGCCTCTGATCCGCAGATTTCCTATGATAGGAAGAGCCTAGCAACATGTACGTGGGAAATGCCCCTTCATGCCATCACTCAGTAGACCCACCAGCAGAGAGCAAGAGAAGATAGTCATTTTGCAGCGTTTGCAAAATGAAATTCACCCAGTACTCAGCACACTGACGTGTCTGGAGGAAAATGGTCCAGGTCAGACGTATTCAGTGGGAGGAGAGCTGGCAAGTCAAGGGCGAGAGATTTGTATGATCTGTAGGACCAGGAAGCCGCCCAAATACCTGTGGGAGTGTGTACACAGGGTTGTACTCACTCAAGCCTAGGGGTGGAGCAGGGGCTGAAGGAGGGAATAGGAGGCAGCAGAGAGGGAAAGGAGGATAGGACCAGGCTACTGACTCATTGTCTTAGGTAGCTGGTGTCCCTTTGAATCAGAGACCCAACAAGTTCATTTCCAATCAGAAATTACCACAGGTAGACAATCGAGGGGTAAGAAGCTAAGAAGGCAGGAGATACCTGCTTCCTGCCTCACCAAGGCCACTGTGGTGGGGGTTGAAATCGCACCTCCACCAAGTCTAACTTTATGGTTATTCCTGAGGGGACTGGGATAAAGATCGGAGGGACACACATCTACAGTAAAGCATGGTATTAATTACATGAACCACGGCAGCAGCCTGCCTGGGTTCACCCCTCTCAGTTTCCTCATCCATAAAATGGAGTTACCGTAATCTCAGCACATCGTGCAGATTAAATGGTATCACCCCTTTGAACATGGAAGATTCACATTACGTAACTGGCAGCTATTACCAAGAGCTACACTGATGTCTTAGTGGTGGCCAAGATGCCAAATGCCTTTCAAGGTTCTCAAAAACAACTAGAATTACATGCATCTATACAATTCATGACCTATTCCAGAGGCACTCTGCCTCCCTGACCTTATTCCTCCAAACAGCCCCTGTGAGGTAGGGGCAGTTATTTCATTCCCATTTTCCATGGAGAGAGACTGAGGCTAGAAAATAGCAAGGCCTGCACAAACCTATTCCCTCGGCTGCTAAAATCCCATCTGCTAATGCCCTGGATTGCCTTGAATGCAGTGAGATCACCAGGTGATGCCTGTTGAGCTAAGCAAACAGATAATATTCACATCCTCTGAGACACCCCTAAAATGCATAAAAGACACTCAGGTGCTATGACACCCCATTCCTGCCATGGACAAATGTGGACCGAATATTTGTTTTGTGCCTGACATTGTGCTAATGAAATGTTGAGGCTAAAAGGATGAAGACCCAGCCCCACCAATGAACTCAAGTCTGATAGGAGAACTGGAGC